AAGTATATTCAGGGGCAGAAACTGCAATTTATCAGGGGCGTAGGGGAGGGGATGATTGTACAAGTATATTCAGGGGCAGAAACTGGAATTGTAATTAAGCTCAATCGGTTTAGCTTTAACTGCAGGTATTTATGTTTTAAGTAAAAAATTCTATATTTTTTCTAGGATTCCTTTAACGAAAATAAAGACCGCAAGAAGGACAATTGAAGATTTTCAAACTTCTGTTGAGAAAATAAAAAATAGGTAAATTTTAAACAAAAAATTGGAACTTTTATTTCTTACTTGATTCACTTCAAAAAACAAATTTCTCTTCTAAACTTTATTTAACTTTATTTACATTTGTAAAATGCACAAATGAACAATTTATAAAACCTTTCATCTCGAAATAACAGAATTTGATTTTTGCAATTTTAGATGTTATAAGAAGTGCATAATTAATGTAATTGTTCTATACGTAAAAGTTTCACAAAATTTTGGTAAACCATAAGTTTTTCTCTCTCTAACAATCTCGTTCAAATTCAAATATATAATGTATAAAAAGACTCTTTTACTTTTTGCATAATTAAACTCAAGTATCCGATTAATATTATGTAAAATATGTAATAAAAAACTACTTACGAACATTTTAGTTTACAGTAAACATTTTAGTTCACATTAAACATTTTAATTTACAGTGAACATTTTAGTTTACAGTGAACATTTTAGTTTAAAGTGAACATTTAGTTTACAGTGAGAATTTTAGTTTACAGTGAACATTTTAGTTTACAGTGAACATTTTAGTTTAAAGTGAACATTTAGTTTACAGTGAGAATTTTAGTTTACAGTACAAATTTTAGTTTACAGTGAACATTTTAGTTTACAGTAAACATTTTAGTTTACAGTAAACATTTTAGTTTACAGTGAACATTTTAGTTTACAGTGAACATTTAGTTTACAGTGAACATTTTAGTTTACAGTGAACATTTTAGTTTACAGTGAACATTTTAGTTAACAGTGACTAAAGATATTTACTGTTGAAGGTGGGGTTCTGGAAATGTTCTGGGTAGTCTGATGCAAGATTTTCCTGAGGACCCTTTAGATAATTACCTTGATGTAAGTAACATAAAAACACAAATAAGGGGTTGATTCAAACCTTGTACTGTCCTGCAGTGTGATCTTATGGGGACTGTAAAGGAAAATGAAAGAGGGTATAGGAATAAACCTGAGAATCTCAGGTGTTGAACAATACATATAAGACATCTATCTGATGTTTCTGTCTCGAGAAATTGATATAAAACTGTGTCAAAATTAAACCAAAACGTATATATTTGAGATTTTGTATAAGGTTTGTAGTATTTGCAAACAGATCATATTCAACAAATACGCAACCAATCTAAATATGACTATATTCCACAGGACCCTGAGAATCTCAGATTTGCTCCTGTTATAGTTTTTTTACATTTTCATTTTGCATTTTTAAAAGATATAATTGATAATAATACTATGCATGGTCTGTACAGTCCGTATTACGTCACCAGAACTTCCACTAATGACAGAGCAGTATACTGGTCACATGATACAGACAGAGACACATGACAACCATTGGTGGAAGTTCTGGTGACGTAATACGGACTATACAGACTATACGAAATAATAATATCAATTTTATCTATTAAAAATTCAAAATAGAAATTTAAACATCATAACAGGAGCAAATCTGAGAATCTCAGGCTTCTGTGGGATATAGTCATTTTCATATTGGTTGCATATTTGTTGAATATGGTCTATTAATACTACAAATCTTATACAAAATATCAGGTTTTAGCCTATTCACCCCCTTTCAGTTTTCCTTTACAGTCCCTTTAACAGGCTAAATTTGTTGCATATACAACTTGCTTGGTTGATTCTAAACTGGGTAGTCCTAACTGTACAGTACTGCTGAATGCATATACAGTACATGTTGCACCAGCTCGGATCTTGCAACTTTTAGAGTACAGTGGGGAGCGCGTTTTGTATGTTGGTAGAACTTGCTCTAAGTCTAGTTGCCTAAAAGCCTGCGCGTTACTTCAAATTATACTCTTGCTCTGTAAACTCCTGTTTAGGCCCAGTATTATGGTCCTGTTGATATTGGAACTCCTGCTCAGAGATTCAATGTTATATTTGATACTGGTTCCAGTAACTTCTGGGTTCCTTCAGGGAAATGTCCAATCTGGGAGCTTGCTTGCCGTAAGAATCTTATATTTACTAAAAACTCATGTTTTACCGGATGATGACTTACATATGTCAGTACTTAAACTATAAAGCGCGTATTTATTTTGGATTAACCGTAAACAGGATCCTTTTTTGCCAATTCATAGTTGGTAATTTTGTACACTGTTTTAATTCAGTAAAAAAACTAAATCTAGTTAGATACATCGTTAAATCATTTATTTCCAAACATTGTTAATTTTATCCTTTTCTTTTATCTAGTTTTAATAATAATTCAGTAACTCACAACAGATACCACAGTGAAGATTCCAGCACTTATAAACCTAATGGAACAGAGTTCGAAATTCAGTATGGATCTGGAAGCATGTCAGGTTAGAACAGTTAATATCTGGAAGCATGTCAAGTTGTAACAGTTTATATCTGGAAGCATTTCATGTTCGAATAGTATAAATTTGGAAGCATGTCAGGTAGAACAGTTTATATCTGGAAGCATGTCAAGTTGTAACAGTTTATATCTGGAAGCATGTCAAGTTGTAACAGTTTAGATCTGGAAGCATGCCAAGTTGTAACAGTTTAGATCTGGAAGCATGTAAAATTAGAACAGTTTAGATCTGGAAATGTCAAGTTAGAATTGTATAAATCTGGAAGCATGTCATGTTGTAACAGTTTAGATCTGGAAGCATTTCAGGTTAGAACAGTACGGATCTGTAAGCATTTCAGGTTAAAACAGTTTAGATCTGGAAGCATTTCAGGTTAAAACAGTTTAGATCTTGAAGCATGTCAGGTTAGAACAGGTTATATCTGGAAGCATGTTAGGTTCTTACATATGTCAATAAATGTTTTGATAACTTTGGAAAGGAAAGCATAAATATTTTTAATTTAATATCTGAAGAAAAAAAAATGTTTTTTTTTCTATGTACAAAAAATATTTTTGCAATTTGATAAATACATTTAATAGTTTTAGCCCTGCTAAAAAAAATAGCATGTCAGATTTTTTACATTTACAATATTTAAGGATTTTCTGTCCAAAAAATATTTTGGCAATTTGATAAATACATTTAATAGTTTTAGCCCTGCTAAAAAAAATAGCATGTCAGATTTTTTACATTTACAATATTTAAGGATTCTTGTCTACTGATTCGACCTGCATTGCTGGTGTTTGTGTAACTAATTAACTCGTTAACGGTTGGTTTAACGAGTTAAAAATATAAGTTTTCCTAATCTTTCGTTCGTTAACGGTAAAGTTTCCCGCCCCATGGTAAATTAGAGGGGTCCATGTTAAAAATCATTGAGCTTAACTTAAAAACCGATTTTCGCCCGTTAAAAAAAAACTTTTCGTAGTTGCAATTTAATTTATACACTTTTGTTGGTCATATTTTTTTGCTGGGGTCTGGAGCTAGTAATTTTGAAAACTGATAATTTTAAATTGGGGTTTCTCTATTAAAGTGACTTGCGCATTCTTCAGCAGTAAACCTTAAACAAATGATCTGCACAATTTAACACTTTCAAATCTGGAAAAACAATATCATTGTCGATAAGGGTACCGCTGTGAATCAGGCACTTCCATCTTTGCATGAAGGGTTATTTGAAATTACGCCTATAGTCTCTTTAAGCTACTTTGGTATTCGTACTTTGCAGAGATAACTGAAGTAAAAGGATCAAGCTTCTTTCCTAAAATTAAAAGTGTCAACGTTAAATATCGATATCAAGAGTTTAAGATTAACGATCAAATAATGAAATCCCATTAAAGTTTATTTATTAAAACTAAACTAAACTAAAATGATGTTATATAAATTAAAATATCAAAAATTGTAATACAGGGTTACCCACAAAGGCCAAGACTTTTTGTACAACTTAAAACTTTTTTAATACATTAATGAAAATAAGAAAATAAATAAGAGTAATTAAGAGCAGTCAGTTCTAAAGATCTGTTTTGTGGGTTACCCTCTATATAAAAAGGAAGACAATTCAGTATAGTTAACTATACATATACAACTACATGCATGGTAATCAATGTACTTAAAGATAAAATAATTGAAATATGTTTACAAAAAGTGTGTCTAAGTTTTCTTGCGCTTAAACACTGATTTTGTACAACTATTGACCTTTTAAGTATCCAACAGTGAAACAGGAAGACGACTTTTACACACAAGTTAAACTTATAAAAAGCCTAACGAATAATATGCACTATTTGCTTTGTATTACAACATAAATTACATTATAGATTACTTTAATTTAATGTTTACACACTTTTCCAGATTAATAGATTATTAACAATACAGAAAGAACACTAGATGTCGTCTTTTCCAGATTTATGGGGTTTTCGTTCAAAATAACCCTGAGGCAGAATCCCAAAGGAGTTACGTAAATGCCTTTTCAGTCTTGTCATTCAACGCGGCATGCGCGTAACTCCTTTGGGCTTCTGTCTCAAGGTTATTATGAACGAAAAACACCTAAATCTAGAAAAGACGACATCTAGTGTTTTATCTGTATTGTTATTAATCTATGGATAAAAGTTACTCATTAGAAATATAGCTTAGTCACAAAAAATTCCGCATAACTCTTCATAAAATGGTCCTCTTAGAGATTGTTGTACACTTTTTTTTGTCAATAAAGATATTCCAGTGAGGCAAATATAACTGTGGAATAGTAAGGCATATTTTAGGCAATCATATATGGAAAAAAATCAAAAATTGATAAAAAAAGTTTTATCTGTTGTACTTTTTATACTTAAAATCTATCTGTTTATATCCATCACTGTCAACAATATTGTTTAGTGATTCATCAACATTTCGTTGAGATCTCCCAGTTCTGCCATTGCTTCCAGTTCTACGCCGGAATAGCGGAGATATGAACGGGATGGAAAGTGCTAGGGTAGGAATCAGGGAAAGTCCTAGAAAACAGCAACATAGATTCAGACTGCTATGACGTGTTGCATTAATTTTTAAAACTGGGTCGAATTTAAATGTCGCCAAGCATTTGCCCTTTGATTTTACCACATAGCTCACTTGAAATTTGTTTAGCCCTAGATATGAAGCACTGTTTTTAATTTTCAGTCGTCGTCGTATATATCAATACAATGAAGACGATTTTAGGTTCTAATTTTGTTTTTTACCAATCTTTCCAACGGCATGGATATTGGATACACATTACACATAATTACTCTAAAACAAAAGGAATTCGTCAAATAACAACTTCTTTTTATTTTACTTGTAAACAATTGTAATTTAAAAAAAAAATTAAAAAAATTCTTCTTACTATCGATATAAACGACGACCACTGTAGTATTAAAGAAGTTATCACAAAGTTTTCATAAAATTTTGCTTTAACCGTTGGATTACTGTGCACCATTTCCTCAAGTAAAGAGTGTACAGTAATCAAAGTGTAGACTGTGCAAGCAAATTTGAGAAGCATTTTGCTAATTCCTTCTTTTTAACTAAATTTTGAAACAATCGCTTTAAAAAATTTTCAAAAAAAATTTCTATTTTTACAAAAATAAAAACGCAGAAGATAAAGTAATTTAAAACAAAAGGGAGAGGGATTTCTAGCAATCTGTATTTACTAGGCAAGTTTTGATGTAAATTGAGTATATAGAATTACTGAGAACATTTTTGTATTTGTGAACATTTTGTTTGAAATAAAGAACAGTATTTTAGAGAAACAAAAGTTCATGAGACATATATAATATTGAATGTTATCAGTATAGTGTTTTCAACGGAATTCCGGATTACGGTTTACGTAAATGAATTATTCTAATTTTTTTCCATTTCCATCATGGAAAATGTTCCGGAATTCAGGAATCCTGAAATTCGGGTTTACAGAATGTAACAAAACCATAGATAAATAAATAAACATAGATAGCTTATGTACACAAAATCACCAAGAATTGTACAGTCCGCGAACTCAAAGTGTACTTCAATGATAAGCGGGGTGGTTTGGTGTTTAATGAATTTCATAATTATTAAAACACTCAGGAGTAAATTTTATGGAACTATTTGAACAACAATATTTCACTGAGCAATAGATCATGTTGACGAGAACTGAAGAAGATCATGAGAAGGACTAAACTAACTTAAATTTCTCTCTACAGAACTCATGTACACCACAAGTACTTAATGACATAAGAACAGCCAATGTTCACAACCGACCTAGTTAATCTATATAATAAGAATATCTTTAAAACATCTCTGTACATTTAAATCTTTCAAGATGAAATTTGTCGTCTTATGCGCAATCTATCTTTATCTATGAACAAAACCGTAAACATTACGGTTTCCATTTGATCCGGATTTATCCCGAAATTCCGCTTTACGGAACAAATTTTTCGGATCATTCCATTTCCAAAATATAATTCTTTTCCGGAATAATAGAAACCCTAGATATTTCGATGTCAAGAAAAAATCGAGGTTTTTTTTCGAGCAGTATACGATCATCATTAAATATGAATTTGAATTCTACTTTATATTCAAATTAATGTTGGTAAAGTAACTAAGTTATTGCAACAATCCCTAAATATTTGCAACCCGAAGTCGCAGACCTTTGATACTTCAAACAATAAGTTCTGTTTGGTCAAATAGTCTAAGTTTAGTCTATCAAAAGTTTATGAGGCAAGAACTCAATCCCTTTATTTTTCACTAGCTTGGGAACTATAAAGTAGCCTGGGCAACGCTGCTCAGGCTGCTTTATAGTTACTCCCACTCTTGGTCTTAAAATACGATTTTAGCTGTTTTTCCCTTTAAAAGTCGACTTACTCTGACTCAACTTAGAATCTCAAAACCAATCTAAGAACACTCCCGTGGTTCTGCAGAGTCAGGGAGTTCATAAGTTATGATCGGACAAACAAAAAACAAACAAACAGAGATTACTACTTTATAAATATAGAAGTTTAAAAATTACCAAAAGCAGCAACAAGAGCTGAATCCTTGGTTAGATTAAACAGAAGACCTGTTGTAGGAGCACTAATTCAAATATTCATATTTTTAAGATTCTTTTTTATTGTTTTTAAGATTCCACAATTCATCAATTAATAATTTTTTAAGTATTTTTTTTCTAAATTGTTTGACGGATTTTTCTCCGTTTTATTTCAAAATTCCAATAAATTAGTTCTGTTTAGTTTTGGTTTATGAAAAATCTGAATTCCTAGCAGAAGATGTTATTGCAGAAGAAGAAGAAGAAGAAGAGGAAGAAGAGGAAGAAGAAGAAGACGAAGATGCTCCTGATATTAATCCAACTGTTAATCCAGGCAAAACCTGAAAATGGAAAAATTTTAAATTTCATCTCCAAAATTTTTTTTTGAAAATTTAAGTTTCTTCAGTTTCAAGCAGGGTACATCAAACAACAACACCCTGTATCTAGTTATCTAGTACTTGTGTTATATTGCATGGTAAAATCTACATATGCCTCAAAACATTCTAACTCAATTGAAGTTTTTTACTACCATTAAGCTTAATCTTATAAGATTCAAGAGAACATTAAGATTTACAAAGATATACTGGTTTCCATTTGAAGAACATTTACGGCTTCTTGCATTTTCTTTTTTTTCTAAGGAATTGAGTTTGTGCCTCAACTCAATTTTTTTATTCTATATCTTTGCAACCTAACGATGTAAACCTTTATTATTTTAAACTTAGATTATGTGATCTAACAAATTTCATAGTTTGGAATATCTAAGGTCTACGACATCAGCTAGGTTCTAGAGATATAAGTATTACAAGATTAGAGTTTGCGACAAAAATTCATTTCCTTTGCTTTAATTAAGTCTAGTTGCCACTTTTATAAACAATGTGGCCTGAAATTACATTTTTGATTAGAAAAAGAAAGATATCTTTAAACAATGAAAGGATGCTAAATTTTGAAAATTGAAAAAAACTCGTTAAAACTACTTTCACAATAACATATTTAATTACAGTAATAACCAGAAAACACTAGAATAGAAAGTCGACTTTTAGACTTATGTAATCGAATCATTTGATAAATTACTAGTTATTCTATTTGCTTAGTAACAACATCAAATACAATTCAGTTTTGCTTTCTACAATTGTCTGGTTTTCACTTATTCACCTGTGGAATCGGTGTCGCTATTAAAGCTGTAGGCGTCGACAATATTAAACCTGGATAAAATATATTATTTAGGAATAAAACGAATATAGATATAGTAATAAAACATATGTAAATATAGGAATAAAACATATATAGATATAGGAATAAAACATGTGTAGATATAGGAATAAAACATATATAGATATAGGAATAAAACATGTGTAGATATAGGAATAAAACATATATAGATGTAGAAATAAAACATATAAAGATTTAGAAATAAAACATCAAACAAAAAAGAATATAATTAAGAAAATGAAAAATTTTCCTTTAACAAAAAGATGATTTTGAAACTGACCTGGCGAAACCGTTTCTGAAGATGGAACCTAAATAAATATTTTTACAAAAGTATACTATACTGATATTACTGAACCATCTCCTTTTGGGAAATTTATGTGATATCAGCACAATATTAATCAAAATTTAAAAATGTCGATAAGTATTTTAATTAATAATTGTTGCCGATTTATCTCTAAACATAATGAGAGAAATTTTTTTTAGAAATAGTGCACTTGCAAATAACAAAATTCTTACAGACATTTCTTTTATGAATGGAAGAACAAGGAAAAATACGACAGTAATTCTTCACTTTTCTTTCTACTAAAAAGATAATAATTGATAAAGATAATTCCTTTCCAAAATAGAAAAACAAAGATATCTTCCTCATTCTGATTCAGTTAAGATATTTAGATATTTAAGAGATTAATACAGTGAGAATCATAAAACTCTGGAATAGGATGACGATATTAACTTAATATTAAAGTGTATTAGATGTTGTTACAAAGCAAATATTTAAAACTTATTAAATCAAACAGGTTCTTTTTACACTACACAATTATTTTGTCTCCAGTTCGAATATTTACAGTAATAATTTGCGTCTAAATGTCATCTTCTCATCTCAGAGTTTTCTGGGTCTCACTGTAGTAAACCTGCTGTAAAATCGACGAAACAGCGTTAGGCGGGGACAAAGTTACATCCTAGAACATAAATAAAGTATAGATTAGGCGGGGACAAAGTTACACCCTAGAACATAAATAAAGTATAGTTTAGGCGGGGACAAAGGTACAGTCTAGAACATAAATAAAGTACAGATTAGGCGGGGACAAAGTTACACCCTAGAACATAAATAGTATAGTTTAGGCGGGGACAAAGTTACACTCTAGAACATAAATAAAGTATAGATTAGGCGGGGACAAAGTTACATCCTAGAACATAAATACAGTATAGATTAGGCGGGGACAAAGTTACATCCTAGAACATAAATAAAGTATAGATTAAATAATTTAATAAATAACTTAAAATATCAAAAATAGCAAATGCACATTGCACACACCAATTGTAGAATAAAGTCCATACTGTAAACTGTACATCTATTTAATTTTAATTGGGAATTATGGTTATGTTTTCATCTTGATTTTAAAATTCTAAGTTGAGTAGGTTAACTTGTATTGAGAAAATTTCGGTTTCTGCAAAGCTGGGTTCTCAAGCTAGTTTTTATAAAGTTGTAATCTCTGCTTGTCTGGTTGTATGTCCAATCATAATTCTCGTGAATCCTTTTAAGGGTTTGTCCAACATTTTGACTGGGGAACTCGGTATGTATGTGTAGCTTGATTTTGAAGTTTAATATTGAGTAGGTTGGCTTTTATAGGGAACACTTAGTTTTCAGGCAAAGCTGGATTCCCAATCTAGGGTAATGAATTATTTCCGAGAATGTAAAATTTAGTAATTAATTGACCCAAATATATGAAATCCTATTATCCACGTCCGCTCCCTTTAGTTTATAAATCTAAAATTGTTTACCGTTAAACCGGTTATTGTACTGCTTGAACTAGGTGTACTGCTGTCTGGGTTAAAGAAACTGGGAATACTGAAAAAAAAATTATTTTGAATAAAATTATCTGCTTAATATTAAAATACTACTTACCCAGTGGGTATTTCATAAAACACATTTGGTTTGGATGTTGTTGTTGTTGTTGTTGTCGTTGTTGTTTCTGGAACTATAACAAATATGGATATAAGAGGTTTAAATTTTTTATTGTTGTAAATCTTATGCAGACTGACGAACATTGTAATTCCTGTAGAATACAAAACGATTAAGCTTTAAGTACGTAAAAACAGTTAAAATTTTGTTTAATCTTAAAATAGCCAAGACTCTGTTCGTCTTTTTGTTGAACCTTGAAATTTCGACCTAGATTCACAAAGAAGTAAAGCCGATTTTGTTTTGTCTTTGAGTTTACTATTCTTTATAATCGATTTTAAATGTTTTGGGGCTTTGAGTTCAGTTGAGAGAAGGGTATAAAGAGTAAAAAATGGATGTTATCAACATTAAATCCTTCCATCTGCGTATTCTGTGAAAAAAAACATATTTAAAAATAATACTAAAAAAAATTCTCTTACCTTGATAGAAAGTATTTGGAAGGTTATAAAGAGTAAGAGAAGGCCCTTTAATTTTATTATTCTCAATCCTATTAAAAAGTTCTGAGCTCTTTAAATCCTTGATCAAGTTTTTTGAATCATCTGTAGTTTTAAGATCTTGTTTGAGGTTATTCCGAGTTTTGAGATCATTTTTAAAGATGTCTGGAGGCGCAAGAATGTACTGAGCTGATCTTCGAGAACGCTTAAGAGATGCAGCGGAGTCATCAATCTTAGGAGAGTCATCAATCTTAGTAGAGTCATCAATCTTAGTAGAGTCATTAATCTTAGTAGAGTCATCAATCTTAGTAGAGTCATCAATCTTAGTAGAGTCATCAATCGTTGCAGAGTCATCAATCGTAGCAGAGTTATCACTCTTTGCAGAGTCCTCAACCATTGCTAAGCCATTAACCTTTGCAGAGTCATCAATCGTAGCAGAGTTATCACTCTTTGCAGAGTCATCAACCGTTGCTGAGTCATTAACCTTTGAAGAGTCATCAACCGTTGCTGAGCCATTAACCTTTGCAGAGTCATCATTTTTTGCAGAGTCATCAATCTTTACAGAGTCATCAATCTTTGCAGAGTCATCAATCTTTGCAGAGTCATCAATCTTTGCAGAGTCATCAATCTTTGCAGAGTCATCAATCTTTGCAGAGTCATTAACCTTTGAAGAGTCCTCAACCGTTGCTGAGCCATTAACCTTTGCGTCATCAATCTTTGCAGAGTCATCAATCTTTGCAGAGTCATCAATCTTTGCAGAGTCATCAATCTTTGCAGAGTCATCAATCTTTGCAGAGTCATTAATAGTTGCAGAGTCATTAATAGTTGCATCTGTTTGGACATTGTTTAATCCATAGATATCTGGTTTAGATGTATAACGGTCAGATACAGTTTTCTCTTGGAGGAATAATTCATCTTCAGCCATTTTTAGGGAATGTTCATATTTATCATGTGACAGAGATTTACTATCTCTGTTTATCCGCAATACTTCTCTGGTTAAGTACACTGTTAAAATAAACTTGTGATCTAATGGGTTACATGAAGTGTAGGTTAGGACAAATTTCATATCCCCTCCCCACCCCCTCCTTTTAGATACGTGCTGAATTTTTAATGATGAGGACAAAAAAATCCAAATTGATGAGATGTTGTTTTGAAACCAGTTTTTAAAACATAATTTATTGATGAAAAAAATTAGTTTTCCATTTCAAAACGAAAACTTTGCTTTTTTGTTTTGCTTTTTGAAATGAAGAGCGATTTTTTTTCGATTTTCGTTTATGAAACAAATACATTTCAAATAAACATTTTCTTTATGCAAAAAAAAGAAGTTTTGAAATAAATAAATAGTTTTCCTTTATTTTCAGTTCATTTGACAAACAAATCCTTGTTGTAAGAAGTTGTAACAAGGTGTAACAAATACACCCCCCCCACCTCCCCTTATACAATCATATAGGTTGTAGGATGTAGTAGAAGACTCTTGTTGTGAAAACAAATGCTCTTCTGAAAGAATTTGCTCAACTGGAGAAGGGTTGTGTGAATCTGCTGATGATTGTTTAACAGTTTTTTTTGCCATAAATCAAACAATTTACTATATATCAAAAAACTAAAATGTGGACAGTATTCAGCGGCTTAAGATGCATCTTTTGATACCCATATCGATACATTTTGAAAATATTTTTTTTTCGGTCTTGTGACTTTTTTGTTGCGAAAATGGCCGCTCGCTCGCCATTTGTTTTAATTATTAATTAATATTTTTGCGAAGTGCTTAAAATGTTGAGGCGCTGTATATCACTAGGCCCTCAAGCTTGGTTCCATAATTGACCAGCCCTATTTGTCATAAGGTAATATCGGTAAGATGTGCCGAGTTTGTCATAATTTTAAAATATTTATATCTAAACGTGAATGTGATCAGAGTAATGAACAGTGTAGGTTCCTAGATGCGTGTATTATTCTAACATCTCTATCTAGAGATCGCCTCCAACTAGGATTTCTCTGCATTAAAATTCTTTTTCAGATGTAAAATAAATGTTAGACTGATGAAAATATAAAAAAAAAGTTTCCATGGGTGTATAAAGGAATTAGTTCAGGTGGGGCTCAAACATTTTTTTCCAAGGGGGCTCAGCATCCTTTAAGGCCTGAAAACCTTCTGGAAGTCTTATATTTCACTGATCCAAGGGGGAGAGAACTGAGCCCCACGGCCCCCTGAACAGTGAAGACTTGTTTGAAAGTTGTCTAATCGGTAATTGGCACTATGTTAAGCCAATCCGACCTTTCTTTAAAGAAAGTACAAAGTGATTTTGGTAAAAAATATCATGAGTAAAAACATTTTTTAAGAACTTTCCTTGAGATTTTGTAATCCCTCAATTCTTTTTAAGAAGGATGGATCCTCTCTTAGTTTTTCCTTTAGTTCAGCCAGGGTTCGAAACTTACTAAAAAATTAAATAACATTTATAAAACTAAACAAAAACGATGAAAAATAAATATCATTGGTTCATAAAGAGCTGGTTTTAACATGGATCAACATTAATAAGTTTTTAGGTTAGAGAGATTCGAATAAACTTGTTGCATATCCAGTTAACAAGCTTTTTATAAAGAAACAAGTTTTTATAATGAAGAATATGATTATTCTGAATACAAGTAGATTGTAGACCCATGCAGAGCTTTTGGGAGGATTAATTGTTACTGTTTTAATTCACAACAAAATGAGGTAATATTTTATAGAGACAAATTTGACCTTAAAACAGCAGCAAAGTCGTCTTCTTCCTCTTCTACTGGCGGGGATCCTGAATTCTTGTTCCAGGGAACCGTCGGTTCAATATATCTATTCTTATATGATCTTGAAGGAAGCACATTCGTCTAAATAAAACCAGTTTTGAAATTTGATTCATGTGCTCACGCAGATTAAGATGAAAAGTGTGCAAAAGAAAAAGTGACAACTTACCAAAGGCAAAAAGAGCTGGAAAACGTAGGGTTAATGAAAAGCAAAGACCGTTAGTTTAAGAGAACAGAAAATATTCATATTGTCTCATATTTTCCAACTAATGGGATATTTTTGAATATGGAATAAATTATTGCACGGATGCTACATGAATGGATCATTAATGGTGACATGTTAAAGAAGAGTCTGTATTGCGATCACGATGTTCCTTTAATCCTATTTTAAAAAAGGCTTCCTTCCCGGGTTCCATTTCTTTTGTTCTTACCCTTGTTAAGGGGGTTGGTTAATTAAAAAGGGGTTTTTTTTTTAAAAATCTAATAACAAACTAATTTTAATTCGAAGAATGAACGAACTTAAAAAAGCGCCCATCCCTCAAATCTGAAAAACCAACCTGTTCTGAAAATACCAAAGAAGGCGGAGAAGGAGGAACTTTCTTTTCCTTACTATATTTTCATCCAGTTTAACAAATGTTGAAAAAATATTTTTTTCCTCACAAAAACTTTAAATTTTTTGTTGTAAAACTGTTTGTGCCTGAATGCCTGAAAAATGTGTTTAAAGCTTGACTTAAAAATTCATTTTCTCTTCTTAGTTTTTCCAGCTCTTCATTTGGACTTTTGTCTGGGGCTCTGTAGTCATGATGATTTCTGTCTGTTATATTTGTCATTTCTGTTATATCTGTTAAATCTGTCATATCTGTTATATCTGTTAAATCTGTCATATCTGTTCTATCTGTTAAATCTGCGATATCTGTGATATCTGTTAAATTTTTTGTATCTGTTAAAACTTTTATATCTGTTGTATCTGTTATATTTGTTATGTCTGTGATATCTGTTATATCTGTTTAAACTTTTATATATGTTATATCTGTGATTTCTCCTATATCGGTTATATTTCTTATATCTGTTATATCTGTGATTTCTCCTATATCGGTTATATTTCTTATATCAGTTATATCTGTTTATTAAATTTTTAAAACTGTTACATCTGTCATATCTGTTATGCCTGTTATATTTGTTAAAAGTGCTTTATATATTTTACATAAGGTTAACTTATACCTGTTAATTATATCTGTTATAAATACATAAACGTTTAAGTCGTTAAACTTTTTTTCAGTTTCCGGTCTAAAATAATTATAACTAAATATTTAAAAACTGTATAATCATCCTGCCTGACTGGTGGTGCTGTAGTATCCTCCTGTTTGCTCGAGTCGGAAAAGAATTTAGAAATACTGCTGGGGATATTAAATACTCCTGCAGAGTTTTCAAGGGGGTTAAAATCTTCAGTTTTAAAGTTTCCAAACAGTTCAAGCGCAGTAGGAGCCTTCACGTTTACTGAAAATAATATTAAGAAGGGAAAAAATTTAACTTTTAACACATTTTTCTTTGTCCTTTTTAATTTTTTTCTTCATCTGTTTCAACAAATAATGTCTTGATCTCGATATTCCATGTGAACGCTTTTAAATTTGGAGAAAAATGTTTGATCCATGAATTAGACTGGTGGATAAGGTATGCCCACTGTAAAATCCAGTACATTTCAGGTACCAGACCGACTTTTAAACAGCTAGAGCAAGCTGTACAGTACTGCACATACAAACTATATAAGACAAAACGCGGCAGTGCACCAAATGACATAAAATCCTAGGTGCAACATTTCATGATGAAAAAAAAGAAGAGTAAGACGAAAATTTCTGGTTTTCATTGTATGCATGTAATATATGCAACTCATATTGGAAAACAAATATGAATTAGTACTCTGACTTATTTCTCTTTAAAGCATGTTTTCACAGCTTTTAGTTATGTCACTGTAACTTAATTATTTAATTTTTTAAATGTCCAAATAAGAAATATCTTTGATTGAAAGCTACCTGGGGATTTAAATGCACTTGGTTTTCTTCTAAATTCGATTGGTTTCATTTCTGAATTTTCCATCAACCATTTTGCAATGTCGGTTGGGGGTGATAAACCTGAACGAAATTGATAATCAAATAATTATTTTTATATCGACACAATGGAATATTTTTTTCCTTGCTACCATTGTTCATAACGGGATTCAATCCAAATTGAACAAAATATAAGTTTTATGAACTCAGATCGAATCATAGGAACCTTTGTGTTGAATAAAACAAAGCTTTTATGCTTCATCTTGATATCCAATATAGGCACTATTAAATTCAAGTTCCCTGAATTAAAGATATCCCTGCAGGTTATGATGACCACGGGAGATCAAAAGGGATTTAGTTTGTAGGTCTGCAAAAGGGAATTATTTTGTAGGTCTGCAAAAGGGATTTAGTTTGTAGGTCTGCAAAAGGGATTTAGTTTGTAGGTCTGCAAAAGGGATTTAGTTTGTAGGTCTGCAAAAGATGGAGATCAATGTTTCCTCCTGAGATTTACAAAACAAAGTTCTTTTGTTGAAAATGTTAAAGAACCTGTGGAAAGCATTGATCAGGGAATGTTAGTACTTTAAACATATATTTTTTCATCCCCCGGTCACTTGAGCAAGTTTAAAAAAGCAAAATCTCTTGTTTGGTGTCACAAATCAATAATAGAAAAATATTTTCCAATCTTACCGAAAACTTGAATTTATTCTGGAATTCCATTTTCAATCAACTTATTAAGTGACGTCGAGACTTTTAAATATTTGTCTGAAAAATTGGTTTTAAAAAACACATCTTAAAAATCTAGTTAACCTGATCCACCAGCTTCAGGTTCATGTTGAGAAACCTCTTGTTGTATTTGTTGAAGACGAGGTTGAGGAAATGAATCTGGATTGTTTAGATGCAGAGGAAGCTGAACCTGTCCTTGTTGATAATTCCCCCAGGCCTGAAATTTTTCCCCAAACCCAGTTTTCGAATCATTTACTTGAGAGGCCAGCGGTGGACCTTTAAACCCAAGTTGTTTCAAGTAAATGGGTTCGCTGACCTGGTTGTTAAAGAGTTGTGGAAGAATTTGAGAGTTAGAGGTTGGTTGCCAATGTGCCTCTATGTGAGATTTTAGAGGATTATTGGAACCTGAAGCTAAAATCCTTTCCAGAGATGAGGGAAGATTCAATCTCACACCGCTTTTATTCTAGAATTATTAATTAATACTCAATGTTTGCAAGTAAAGGATTTAAATAACTGAACGCTTGTATGAATTACTCAGCTTTTCTAAGCACTGTATATATTCACACTGCAAACATTTAGTCACCGTCAAACTGATGTCGAATATATTAATAACGTAAAATCCGGAATTATTTATCCGACATCTTCGCCACATCACCACATATAGTCGGTTAAAACGTGTCCTAATCTGCTATATGATATTTAAGTTTTATATATATAAGTTATACACCGTCAGGTTGGAAGATATAGGGTTTGGAAAATTACAGTTTGAGAATTAGTAATATTTTTTGTTTTGACAATTAAATTTAGATTTTATTTTGTAAAATCAAACCTGAGAATTCTTGTTCTGGTTTAAAAATGGATGCTGATGGGAAAAGGGAATATCTGGCAAGGAAAGTCCTGGATTTCCTTTTATAAAAATATTTATTATTTATTTCCCTCTGAAAAAGAATTTAAAATTTCATCAATACAAATTAAATATTTTTTTATACAATGATATTCTAAATAACCCGAGCTGAAAACTTTATAATGGTGGATATCGAAATTAATGCTTGATCTTCCCTTTTTCTTAATATCGAGACTAACTTAATCTTGTACTTGTATCCTGAAAAGTGTATAAAATTCAACCAATCAGAGTCGCGTATATGAAGCCAATAAATTTGAAATTTTGCGCGCCATTTAAGATTAATATTTTATTTTAAAAAACCGGTTTTTGATTTTTCTCTCCTATATCCAAGAAAGAACGGTTTAAGAAGAAAATGAAAAGTGTGTCCAGTGGATACTCAGATTAAGTAATCGAGATTAAGGATATCTCATTCTAAAGTTTTTAGCTCCGGAATAATATAAATTTATGGCTAACTACAAAGTTGTTTTTGACCTTAGCATTTTTTTGTGGCATTCTACATACATCACTATCTTAATTTTAGCAATATTTTTTCATGAAAAAATAATAACAAAATAGCCCTATTCCTGCCATTTTCAAAATGTTGTCTCCCATATTTTGATCTCAAAAATACCAATGGTCTTAAGAATTTTGTTTATATTTCAATTTATTAAATAAAAACATAAAAATGTCTCATTCTGAACGAAATCATTCATGTCTGCGGTAATTTCGAAACCACCAAAAAGGCAGACCACATTTTGGAAATTGCAGGACTAGAGCTATTTTGTTATTATTGTTTTATAAAAGAATATTGCTAAAATCAGGTTAGTAACGTAAAATGCCGCTAATTATTTCTAAGGTCAAAGACGACTTTGAATTCATCAATCAATCAATGTTTGAAAGATTACCTACACCTCCAACAGTTCTTACTTCTTCTTCTTCTTCTTTGACAAGAGAAGACGGTGATTTAAATCCAGCTAAAAATCATATTTTATATTTTGCTTTTATACTTAAAAAACATCTGAATTTCAATACCAGGATTATAATAATTTAAAAAAGGTGAAAACGTTTTCGAAGATTGTAAAAAAAGAGTATCATTAACCGATTTAGGGGCTGTACATCTTGGCCCTGTACGGTTAGCGATGTATGTTCGTGTATGGGTAGTATTTTTACTCATTTTTCTTTCAGGGCCAAAAGAATTGAATACTCGCCACAAACAAAATTTTTTTACCACTTTATCTTTTGAACTAAATTATGTTAATGTTTTATATTTCAAACTTTGATTAGTATATCTGACGTCAATCATAGTTTAAGGTCTACAAATTCATGTTACAGAAATATAAGAGCTAGAAAGTAAGAGAATATGGCGAATAATCGGTTTCTTTCCGGTAAAGTAAACTTTAACATATTTCAATTTTGAAAGCAATAATGTTTTATTATTTGTTTAAAAAGCAACTCAAAGAGGGACTAGCAACACCAACTGCACTGTTTAGTGTTTGTACCTAGCTTTGAAAAATCTTTTTTTTTATTCATCTCCTCAAATTCAGTTTTTAGCATAGGCTGCTGTCCGGTCAACTCTAGCTGTCCCCCAACATTGTTCCAGATATTCACATATATCACTTCAGGCTCCTAATATAAAAAAGTTTCATTTTATAGGGAATGTTTACTCAATTTCTAAAAGACTGTACACTTAATTTTAAAAAGACTGTTTACTTAATTTTAAAGCGACTGTTTACTTAATTTTAAAGCGACTGTTTACTTAATTTTAAAGGGACTGTTTACTTAATTTTAAAGGGACTGTTTACTCAATTTTAAAAGGAATGTTTACTTAATTTTAAAGCGACTGTTTACTTAATTTTAAAGGGACTGTTTACTAAATTTTAAAGGGAATGATTACTTAATTTTAAAGGGACTGTTTACTTAATTTTAAAGGGGCTGTTTACTCAATTCTAAAGGAACTGTTTAAAGGGACTGTTAGCTTGATTTTAAAAATACTGTTTACTTAATTTTAAAGGGACTGTTTACTTAATTTTAAAGGGATTGTTTGCTTAATTTTAAAGGGACTGTTTACTTAATTTTAAAGGGACTGTTTACTTAATGTTACGCGAGCTACGCTGCGTTCATAAAGTCTATGTGATACCCCTGTGATTCTCTGAGTTCCTCCTGAGGATCTGTACAGAACGTATTGTAAAGAACTAGTTTATAGTTTCAATATTTTTTTTTTAATGTCGTCTTCCTAGACTACAGTTTTCTGTTTATCATGACTTTGAATAAATTTCTCCATTTGTTTTAGTATCAGAAATCTGCAAATCCCTTCTGAATAGAAACCACAATTAAAAATAATAACATTTTTGAGCCCATGGATATCTCATTCAATATTTTTGATCAGACCAAGCCTTTCAAGGTACTCTTGTGAATAAGATACGCCACTGTTCTTAAGGTTCCTTTGGTCAGTATCTATCTGATACCACACACAATTAAATATTAAATGTCAAAATAAATCTATACTTCTCAGAAAAAAAAACAATTTAAACTTTGCAATGTTAATAAAAAAAGAAAAAAAACTCTTTTCTTATTTCGTTGATGTCGTATACCTTTGACATTTACAACTATTAAGTCTACTTTACCAAAAGTGTGCACAATAAAAGTTTGGAAAATAAAAAGATTGTTGTGTGTTGCGAGTAATTAGTTCCAGATCTTTTGAAGATACTGAAAACTCACCACAGACTCTTATTTATTCTTAACCATATACATTTGTGAAATCTGATGTCGAAGACCTCTGATATTGGTGGATATGTAGAAATTTTAAATATTCATTTTTCACTATCTAAGGTTCACACAATAAGGATGCGAAAAGAGTAATTCAGTCTTTGCCTCAAACTCTAATTTTCTCATCCCTTTTTCTTTATTGCAATTTAGTTTTTTCTAACTAAGAATTTTGCTAGAACATATAATCTAAGTTTGTAATTCTAAAGATTTACTCTATTTTAAGTTGCTAGGATATAGGGATTAGCAGATTTAAGTTTCTTGCAAAGATTAAACTCTTTTACAAAATTTATAATGTTTAAAGTAAACAAGACCTGTACTGTAGATTGTGTCTCTTGCTTTCCGTTTCCTTTAAACAGTTCTAAAGTTTCATTAAGCTGCTCCAACAATTCTTTTATCTCATCCTAGAGATTCAATTTTATTTTAAAAAAAGATAATCATTTTAATTTAGAAATGTCAAAGATGAGGATTTCTCATAAACTAGTGTTTAGAACAGTTTAACCCGGAATTTCGGAGACATCGACAGAATTTATAAAATGTCGTTTTCCTAGCTACTGATAATGGAATGCTGAAGATATTTAGTTTTTTAATTAGATAATTATATGTAGCACTTTAAAACTGTTCCCGCATATTTCATGGCTATTTATTTATTGTTAAAATTCCTAAAAGTTAGGTATAATATAATTGTATGAAACCCATGGAATAATTGTTAAGAAAACATTATTTGAATACCTCCGTAGTTCTGGTTTAAACTGTAGTTAAATAGGGAATTAAGCTTTGTCAGTAAATGCTAGAGATGTCAACGTTTTGATTTTTCTAGATTTTAGCTTTCGTTACGATAGTGTTCATCAAAAGTATAAACGTTTAAAACGTTACGTTGCAGATTATGAAATTTTATGGCATAGACTAACGTTACGTTATGAATTCTCTGCACTTGAATACCTTATACAACGTTAAGTTTTAGTAAATGTTAGCGAAAAAAAGTAAGCTCCGTTACACTTTTGCATTTCCTTTTGCTTATGTAATATAACTACAATTTTTAACGTTCCACTTTCATGCAAGGTAAATATTTTCAGAGACCTTACGTTACATTTTCACTTGGTTTAAGATCTAGAAGATAAGAAACGTTTTGCTATCATAAAACGTCAATTGGGGCATAGTTCTGTACGTTACAATGCATTTCAGTGCAAAGAATATTTTTTGTTAACGTTACGTTTTATCTTAACTTTTTCACATCACACTCAAAATGGCTAAAAATATTTTTCCAAATCGTGAGTTTTGTAGATTAAAACTATACCAGAATTATACCTTAGACTTGCTTGAAGAGTTCTCTGTGTTAATGATAGAAGGGTTTGCACTTTCATTTTGTACAGCAAGAGGTCTGAAATATACTGAGATATAGAAAACTCTACAAGTTAATCAACATATTTTTAGACAGCCTTTTGTTATAGGCATAAACGCATACAATACAAATGCAACCCGATTGTTTCTAGCTTAAGGGGACTGTAAATGAAAATAAAAGGGGGTATAGGATGAAAACTGAGAATCTAAGGCGTTAAACGATAAATATAAAACATATCGTTGTCACAAGATACAGACTGAAATCACGTGACCAGTATACTGCACTGCCATTGGCTGAAGTTCTGGTGACGTAATACGGAACATATGGATATATGTAAAAATATTATAAATTATATCTATTAAAAATGCAAAATAAAAATTATAATGGTATATCGTTGTTTTTAGATTGGTTGCGTATTTGTTAAATTTGATCTGTTTAATACTACAACTTTTATACAAAATTGCATATATATATGAATTTTCGTATATAACAGCTAGTTTTATATTAATTTCTCGAGACTGGAACATCAGTTAGATGTCTTATAGGTATCTTTAAACTCCTGAGATTCTCAGATTTCATTCTATACCCCTTTTCATTTTTCTTTTACAGTCCCTGTAAGTTTAAAAGAAGTAATTGGGAAAACACTGATTGATTTTTGCCTGACATTCTTAAAGAAAAATCTGTCAACGTTCCTAATACATAAATAGGATGCAATTGTATTTTTTTAATGAAAAAAGGCATCATCATATGTACATTTAAATTTAAATTTCAAATTTTACATTTAATACCCAATTTTTAGGAATAATTGAATACAAAAATATTTGCCTAATGTTTCACTATTTGTCAGAGTAAGCATCAAAACCCTGGTTTTATTGTATGTTTAATGTTTATGATCCTAATCTAGAATAAAGCCTTTTGGTATTATATTGGACATTCTCGTATAAATATGTTGGCATACACGGTGGTTTTTTAAGAAAGAATCAGTTTAATCAAAACTATCAATGAAATAGAAATATATAGTAAAGCCTTTTGGTATTATATTGGACATTCTCGTATAAATATGTTGGCATACACGGTGGTTTTTAAAAGAGACTCAGTATAATCAAAATTATCAATGAAATAGAAATATATAGTTGGTTTTCTAACTCCAAAAAATGGAATGGTAGATGAATTTTTAAATATGTAAACAATTCATTTAAAGGAACTTTAAGCATAATTTTAATTGACTCTCCATGTAAAGATGGCAATGCCCGATTTACAACTGTATTCTTGAAACCTTTCTCTGATCAATAATGTGGAAGATAACGTGGTTTTTATGATGTGTTTATTATGTCTCTCTTAGAAGCCAGAAATTCCCAAGTCACTTTTTGCAGAGAAACAAAAAACAAAAAATGAGCAGACTTCAAACACAAAAACATAGAGTTTTAATTCATATTTGTTTAGATAAAGCTTGTAAATCAGGCAGGCATTGTTATTTTTGAATGTATTTTGAATTTATTTTTGAATGTTTATACACCCAAGAATTCTTTTCCCATGCTTGAGTTGAGAAGCTAAGTATTTCCTGATTATTTCTGTCAAACCCCATTCTTTTTCCAGTGATGTATGATCTGATTTTGAGACCAAATTGAGAAAAAATATTAATTTTCCTACCTTGAAGTTGTTTGACTCTCTGGTTTAAGTGTTGCTATAGGACTACGCGGTGAAGATGTGGTTACGAAGTTGGGTCTAAATATTCTAACTTAGCATTTACAGTTTAATGCAAAAACGTTGCTATAAATAATTCACAGAGCAGGTTTGGTTTAATGTAAAATTAAAAGATACGCAAAAATTAGGTTTACAGAAGGGAAAAGAGTCTGAACTCTGGACCAATTAAATCAAATATTAGAGAGACGATAAATTCACTTTGAAATTTAATTCCAACTCCTTTTTTATTTGGGAGCTTTTAAACATCGACTAAAATGAATATGATAATAGTAATTAATATATCATTTATTTTTTTATAAAAGGGTCCGAATTTAATTAATTGGAGAGGTCGCTGAACTACCTACTGCCAGTTCAAATCATAAATAACCGATTCAAAACCTCATAAATTTTTAACTTTGAATCTGTGATTCAGGATTTGAACCCGCGGAAGGTAGTTCATCAAGCTAGCTTAAATGTACTAAATTCAGTCCCTCGTTAACATAATCACACAAAAATCTCCAACATCAGTGAAACATCGTTGTCAATTTTGTTGTTTAGAAAAAAGTCTTAAATGAACTCCTTCAAAACTCAACTTTGGAATAACAAGATAATTTTACAAAGTCAGGACAAAATTGGTCCCTGAAGCCCAAACCAAAAAAACGTTTAGAATTTTTTTTTTTTATATTTTCCAGTTTTTTTTTCCACTTCTCTGAGTTTGTCTAACTAGGCTTCCAGGGCGATTCGCGTCCATCTTCGATTTTAACTTAAAATTGTTGCTCTTTATCATTTTTTTTTCGTGGATTTTGAAAAATCCACATTTTTTCAAAATTTAACCATTTATAAGCTTTCATGTGAGGTTCCACAAAAAATTTGGGCCCGATCGGGTCAGCCGTTTTGACGGCTACAAACAAACACCTAATATGATAGAAGAGGTGAAGTATTAATACCTTGAATCTGGAAATAGATACTCTTCAAAGTAATCATCTGCTTCTTCCTTGTAACCATATAATTCTAAGTATTCTTCATACTCAAGGGAATAATCCTCAGCTTGGGGGTTGTTGACAGAAGGAGAAGGAGGAGAAAGAGGAGGAGGAGGTAGAGGAGAAGGAGGAGGCAGAGGAGAAGGAGGAGAAAGAGGAAGTGGAGAAGGAGGAAAAAGAGAAGAAGAACTTTTATTTGTCTGAAAATTTGTCTCAAGTTCTCCACTCTGTTGCCAGAATTGAGGGTAGTATAGTTCTAGAAATAAAANAAGGAGAAAGAGGAAGTGGAGAAGGAGGAGAAAAACTTTTATCTGTCTGAAAATTTGTCTCAAGTTCTCCACTCTGTTGCCAGAATTGAGGGTAGTATAGTTCTAGAAATTAAAAAAAAATGTCTTTATTCTTTGGTCTCTGGCAAAAAATATTATGATATTTGGACTTATCTATACACATTTACTATTTAAAAATAATAGTATAATTTGAGACATATAACTTAAATGTAAATGAAAATGGAAGTGCTTTGTTATTGGTTTTTAAAACTGGACCCCACGGCCGTAATGCAATTGTACACCTTTCTATTGGCCGTTGCAGTATGTGGGAGGGTATGTGGAGGTTAATTCAGTCTGCTCGGGTGAATTACTTATTTAACAAAAAAAGAACTTATTTACAATATTTCAATCACCTTGACTTCTGTCAACTTCAAACACTGGAGCATCTCCAAATTGTTCCTCTGCAGCGGCTAAAAATAACTTTTATTTTAGTTGGTTCGTTTTTTGCCTGTAAATGCTTACAGGGTAAAAATCGGCATAATTGAACAACAGTAAATGCTTTTTAAATTTCTTTATATAAACCTTTGCTATTCTTACTTTTTGTCAAATTTGAACCCAAAGAGAAGATATATTCAAAAAATACATAAAAACGGTGCAAAAACAAAGGAAACGATCGTTTTTGGTTCGTTTTTTCATTTTGTTTGGTTAAAGATATAACAAATTTTAATAAAAGCATACTATACAGTTTTAAAATCTTGTAGGTTTTATAATTATTTTTTAAACGATCCAAAACCATTAACAACACAATTTATTTCACAACAAAGAATTCTACTTTTGTAAATCAGTTAACTGAATTGAAAAACATTTTTTAAAACATTAAATGATTTATTTTACCTTGCTTTGGTCTTGATATTGATGATGATGAGCTGAAGGAAGTTTGATATTTTGAATTCCCTGACTGGATTTTAGGGATTTCCCCAGATTTTCTTGAATCATCAAAACTAAATTTCTTTTTTGATATGGGATTCTCAGTCTTCATTTGTAGTAGAATTATCTTAAGCTGTTCTGGTATTTCTATATTTCTAAGTTCATCTTGGAATTCAGGTTGGCTTAACACACTTAATTGGTGTGCTACAACTTCGTTATCATCAAAAAACCCATTTCCAGTGGTTGCAGTTCTTCCACTTGTATCGTAGAAGCTAAACTGTCTCTGAGGCCTAGAAAAGAATGAGTTTAGCTAATAATTATTCTTAAGCTTAAAAGGGTTTCCGAAATAGTTTCAATTATAGAGCTGCATATCCGATATACAATGGTACCCTGTAAACCATTGGCTGTGCGAAAAAAAAATTATGTTTTTATAGAAAATCTTTATATTCTGCATAAATTAAATATTTTTTAAACCATGTTATCATCTAGTAAAGAAAAAGACAAAACTCATCACACCTGAAAACGAAAAAACTTCCTCAATGTTGATTTTAAAAGTACTGTTTAAATTGAGCAAACAACTCTTTAATAAGGGTGTTACTTAAAAGTATACTAATTCAGTCTCTTTAACAAAGATTTTTTCATTATTCCAACAATTAAAGAAATTAAGTCTTTGCCACAAACTTAAATTTTCGCATCCCCACATCTTTGCAACCTGCTGAATCTTTGATATTTAAAACCTAGATTATTTCAATTAGTAGAACTCATAGTTTTAAATAATAAAGGTATACGTGTTTTGGTTGCAAAGATATAGGAAATTAGTGTTTGTGGAAAAAACTCAATTTCTTTGCAACCCAATGCCGTAGACCTTAGATATTTCAAACTATGAATTCTGTTAGATGAAAAAATCTAAGTTTGAAATATCAAAGGTTTACACCATCAGGTGGAAAAAATATAGATACTAGAAAATCAGAGCTTGTTACAAAGACTCAATTCCTTTGCAATGAAGCAAAAGAACAACAGACCTTAGTGAATCACTTGGGAGAGTAAATGCTTGCTGTATTGGTGGATTCGGGGCATTAAATAATGGATTTCCATTAGGACGTCTCAGAGGTCTTTTCTGACCACTTGGCCTTGGACGTGGTCCAACAGAGGGCCTGTTGACGGGACGTCTTTTTGGTGGAACTCCACCAAAAACAACATCAGCAGTATTTACTCCATTCTGTGGGAGCTCGGGTCTCCTTGTTGGGGGCTTTGGCACAGAGAAAAGATCTGCAATCATATAATCTAAAATAAAATAGAAAATATTTGTATTTGTGTAAAAACAGAAAACATATTAGGGTTTTATTTATGAATAGATTATGAAATTTAATGGAATAAAATCACAGTTACCTAGTAAAGATGGACCAGTATTAGACGGCTCTTTTTGTGAGATATAAGGCGGGCCAGGCCTACTAAATAAGTTTTGTTGACCCAGACCTCCTGAAGTTAGAGATGGGCGCGTTGGGCTATTTTGTATTTCGTAAACAACCAATTGTTTGTTTTTTAATCGTTAAAAATTGATTTCGTTCGTTCTCAAAATTATTGTTCATTTTCCATTTGTTTCGTTCATTTTCTCACAGAACGATTGTTTCGTAAAATCATTCGTTCAGTAAAATCGGTCTTTCAGTAACAAAACGATTGTTTTCTTAAAAATTTATTCGAAAAAACTAATTTTTTTCAAGCTTTTTAAAGATTTTAAATCGTTCGGTTTTTTTCATTTCTCTGAACGATCGAAGTTGTTTGTCTATCGTTCGTTTTTTACTTTCTAAACGACACCACCGTTTACAAAAACAATGTCCATCTCTACCTAAAATATCTGGTCTTATCCCAAAACCATTTTGTGGCCTTGATATTATGTTGGGAGCAGCCAATAAGGGTCTTGGGGTGTACTTAGTTGTTGGTTTTCTTGTTGGTTCTTGATACCCATCATCAATTTCATTTTCACTTTGCGTAATTGTAGAGAGCAATGATAAAAGATTGATCAATTTCTTCTGTGACTCTTCTGTCTCGGTTTTCTTGAAAAGTGAAATTCTTACTTAGAAATGGGCACGTTCGGCTTTTTTTATTTCTCAATTTTAATAATGAAGTTAATGGAATATATTTTAGAATTATTAACAGTGCGAGCAGTAACAACCCTATAATAATTATTTAATGTAAAAATAGCTGTTTACAGCACAGCTTTTTTAAAATTTACGGTTTTTGCCATCTGTTAATGGACAATTTCGTCAATTTTCAAAACTATAACGGAACAGTGCCTGGCCCTTGTTAAAAATTGTTATAAAATTTGGCCCACCTGTAACTGTTCAAATTCCTCAAGAATGAGAGCTTGAAGTAGGTCAGATATGGAAGATTTAGTAACCTCAGCATCTACACCACTTTCTGTTGAAAGTGCCTGTGGTAGAAGTTTTAAAAGTTAAATAAAATTTTACGCAAATTTCCTTTAATAAAAGTCGTTTGTTCATCGTTCATGAACGACCCACTTGGTTCGTTTTTTTTGTTGTTAAAAACCATGCGTTCAATAAAAGCATTCTTTTTCAAATTTGTTTTAATGATTTAAAACTATTTTGTTCTCTGAACAATCCAAGTCTTTTTTCGTTTGCAAAAACGATGCCAACCTCCAGCCTGTCCTAGCCCTGGGTAGCAACACTCTTAACTGAGAAATTGTCCAAAACGATGCCAACCACTAGCCTGTCCTAGCTCTGGGTAGCAACACTCTCAACTGAGAAATTGTCCAAAACGATGCCAACCTCCAGCCTGTCCTAGCTCTGGGTAGCAACACTCTCAACTGAGAAATTGTCCAAAACGATGCCAACCTCCAGCCTGTCCTAGCCCTGGGTAGCAACACTCTCAACTGAGAAATTGTCCAAAATGTGTGCCACCACTGAGGGGGATGGAAAGATTTTCAAATTTGTCTCTTATATTCATCAAAACTCAAAAATTAAAATAAAAACCCTAAATATTTAATATTTTTTAACACAATTGTTTTTTTATCTTGTTGGTTGAAATATAAACTTTACCTGAGATACCAAGGATGGAACAGGCCTGTAGGTTGTTATTGGAGGATTGTATGCAGGTGGACGACCAGTCTCTTGATTCAAGTTGTTCTGTTTTATGTCATCTATTAAGGGGTATTCAAGGGCAGGAAGGGTAACTATAGGTTCATGGTATAAAGGAAATGGTGTGATTGGTTGGTAGAATATTGGGGAAGAAGTAGGCTGCTCTGAAGACAAAGTAGGTCTGTAATTAGTGTTCAGAGTAGTATTTGAAGTTGGTTGAGTTATGTTTAAGTAGGTTGGTATGGTTTCTGGTTGATAACTAGTGGATTGATATATTGGAGGCAGTAAAGTTGGTCTTTTGGAGGGTGTAAATTTTTGAGGTGGATAAGTTGAATGCGGTGAAGAATTGTGAATCTGCTGGAAATCAACTGGGTTAACAGGGGCATTTTCATCATCATCTTTTATGTTGTTAGAGTCCAATAGTTGTGCAAGCATTTCATCAACAGAGGCACTGGTGCTGAATAGGGAACAGTTTTAGATCAATTAATATTTTGTTAATAATTTTTTTTCTTCTAAATATTATATCTAGACCTAAATGATGAGGGAAGTGAATCAAAATTATTATTTTGAGTCTCTTCTTCTTTTTTCAACTGTATCTGAAATGCATTTATTCTATTATTCTAATTTATAGAGCAATTTATACACAATAATTCACCAAACACATATGAGTAGGGCCTTGATTGATTGACGCAAAAGCTAGGCTGCTTCTATCAATTAGTTTAGTTTTTAAATGTTTGTTTTATGGCATTTTTCTTTGAGCATCATAAAACTAAATCATTTCGCAGATTTTTTTGATTTCATTAATGGATTTCAAATTTTTTTTAAAATCTCAATTTGTAATTTCAATTTATGATTGGTCACAATCAAACAACAGATAATTGAAATATATATGCGATAGATAAAGTTAATATATATATATTTACCTCCGAGGTTTGAACAAGAAATGGGGATTCAAGTAGAGAAGGATCTGAAGTATTAACATGGTCAGCACAGTAAAGGCAAATACAAACATTTTGTCTGTAATATCCTAACACATGGATATAATTGGACATGCGGCCGCAGCGCCTGGCCCCCTAGCCTGTCCTAGCCTCGGCGCACTGCCCCTTAGCCTGTCCTAGCCACAGCGCTTGGTCTAGAAATTGTGTTAATAACCCGACCTAACCCTAAAGTAAAACTAAATAGATATAAATTTTTACAAAAAATCGTATAATAGGACAAGGACCCTTTTTTTCAACCTTTAATGCTAAAGTGAGAGAAAAACGGGAACAACACAAAATCTATAACAATTGAAAAAAAAATCTAAATTTACCAGTTTCTTATATAAACAAACTGTATAAATGATATCTTGTCAAGTTATGGGACAAAGAAATTCAATTCAATTTTAAACTCTAATTTTCTGTTCTAGAACCCTCGATCTATAGTTATTTAAATCAGATATCTATGTTTGCAATAGCAAAGGTTTACAACATCAAATTGAATAAATATCGGGATTTAATAATAAATAAAATGTTTACCTGAATATTCTTTATGCTCAAATTTTTCCACAAGGAAAGGAGAGTCTAATTCTTCACTGTGAATATCTGAATTATAAAGCATATTTTGTCTACCTGTCTACCCACCGTTCTATATGTCTACCTTTCTACCTGTCTACCTCAGTCTACCTGTCTACCTGTCTACCTGTCTACCTGTCTACCTGTCTACCTGTTTACCTGTCTACCTGTCTACCTGTCTACCTGTCTACCTGTCTATCTTTCTACCTGTCGACCTGTCGACCTGTCTACCTGTCTACCTGTCTACCTGTCTACATGTCTACCTGTCTACCTGTCCACCTGTCTACCTGGAAAAGAGCTGGATGAGGGAATATTTGGATCCGATATTTTCAAGGTTTCACTGTTAAGTCCAGGATCCTTAAGTTTTAATGTTCCAGATCCTAAATAAAAAAATAAAGAATTGTTAACTTCAAAAAAATGGAAAAATTATTTTTTACCTTTTGTTACAGAGATGCCCTCATAATTGGAAGTCACAGTACTGCAAAAATATTTGTTTTGAGAATATAAAAAAATGTAAAACTTTTTTAATATAATAACAATGATGCTTGAAAGGATTTAAAATTGTAATGATTATGCTTGAATAAACTAAATCGTTATACAAATCTTTCTTTTGTAGAAAAATATGGATAACGAAGAAAAAAATCTATAAAAAATAACATATTATGCTAATGTCCCGAGTACCTATAAAATGAAATTTAAAAAAAAAAATAAGAAAATGAGTAAGCGATCGAACACAATTTTTTTATTTGGTCGCCTTAATAATCAGCAATTTTTCATAAATTTAGAGTGCATGGTCTTCGTTTATATCAATACAATGAAGACGAGTTTCAGTTTTTAGTTTTGATATATACGACGACATCTATTACCGACCTGGTTTCGGGTGTACTAAGGGTCGCAGTTCCCATCATAGATTCAGATGGAATATATCCATATTTAGTTGGGAACTTAGACTAGGCAGATCAAGCTTTATTGTTTATGCTCAGAGGTTAAAACTGAATGGCGTTAACCTACAACGCCTGTTCTCGATATCCACCAATTTTTATGCTATTGAAATTAAGAAATCAGTTACAGCTACATTGCAATCGATAAATCTGTTACAACTACATATTTGCAATAAAAAGATCAGTTACAGCTACATATTTGCAATCAATAAATCAGTTAAAGCTACATATTTTCAATCAATAAATCAGTTAACTTATAGATACATATCTATAAATGTAATCAACAAATCAATTTTAGGGTCACAGGAAAATATGCAATCAATTATTCAGAAAAAGTAGCAATTTTAACCTAGAGATAAAGCAGATGTTAAATTTAATTAAAAAATGGAGAAGAAACAAATTAAAGATTAATGCTAATAAAACTTTTCTTTCCTGTGTCCCAACTCCCATTCTTCTTCCTTCCTCAATTTCTGAAACAATCAGATCTTTTTAAACAAACTGGTAAAATTTAATTAGGAGATGGTGTTATCTCATAGTATTAAGAACAATAGTTTTCAAACAAACTGGTAAAATTGAATTAGGAGATGGTGTTATCTCATAGTATTAAGAACAATAGTTTTCAAACAAACTGGTAAAATTTAATTAGGAGATGGTGATATTTCATAGTATTAAGAACAATAGTTTTTACGAATCTAGCCTCCCCTGTATACGCCGTTGCTTGAAACATTCTTTATCTTGAGACCCTACTCTTTGAAATCAAAGTAATACAAATGTCGTCTTCTACCTGGTAGATTGAAGACGATGTTTACACTAGTTTTCAAGGGTTCTAAGTTTTCCACAAACATTGGCTGTTTCCACACATCCTAAAATGAATATTTTTCAGCCTGGATCGGTTGAAGATATGTGATACATTGGACTGAAAAAAACTATGAAATAGGAAGACGACTTCAAGACTAAAGTTCCAGGGTTTATACCCACTTATAAAGGATAAATTATAGAGATAACTGCACACAACTTATTCAGTATTTTTCCTTTATTTCTGGTACCTTCAGCTGCGTTGCTTGTTTCTTTCTAATTTTTCCATATCATTAAATATACCTTTAAAAACTTAATTAAGTTAAAAACTCCAAATTTAACTATCAGGCTGTCTGCATATTCAAACAGCTCAAGATCTTCGTTAAAGTCTCATTCTTTGTGGGTCCCCCCGTATGTATTTTATAGCCTATTAATGGACTTGAAACACAGCAATGTGCATTGTACGTAATACGTATGGACACATTTCACTTTAAAGGTTTATGGTGTCTTCTTTCGAGTTAAGGAGACAAAATAGGATTCTTGAATTCTAGGTAAGTGTTGACAATTGTACCCTCCTCTCCATTCCCTTTCCTCAATCCCCCCCCTCCCATTCCCACTAGTTGCGCTTTTACCCACTAAATTCAATTTTCCTAATCCTTTGANGGGGGGGGGGGGGGGGTTTAAATTATCATTCTAACAATAATGGCAAGGAAATTAAATTGCGGATTTCAATTATCATTTCCAAATTTTATATTTCCAATTTATTGTGAATATCAAAGAAGAAAGCTTGTGCAGTATCTAAATGATGAACAGTCAAAATTGATATACGTGGCGACGATTTTGGCTGTCAATTCTCCATGGATATAACAATTAAATTATTTGGTTTAAAAAGAAATAAACGTTTTAAAGTTAAAAATATGAGGTTCATGTTGAAAATTAAACATTATAACATCAAAAAAGGAAAGAAACTTTAAATTCATAGAAAATTGGGATTAAGAAAATTTTACAAAAAGTGAATTATCGATATTTGAAAATGGAAATTTATAAAGAAAATTTCTATTTTTTCACAAAGAGAGACTGATAATAAACATAGGCTGTTAAGAGTACTGAAAGGGACTGCACATGCTGTAAGCATAATTCAATGTGATCCTTCACACAAAGAGGGCCATGCCCAATTCACAACAGTACCCTTGTGGAAGATATTTCTTTTTATCTAGACTTAAAAATGTTTAATTCAGATAATTTCTAATTTTTTCATGCAGTAGAATGCCCTAGTGACATTTGAAGAGAAACCAAAGTTCCAAAAATAGAAATATCTAGTTCATACTTGATCAGACAAAGCTTTTAAGCCGGAGAATTGGACATTTCCTTTTTTCACGGAGGTTCACTTGTAATTACGCTTACAGTCCCTTTAATGAGTTTATTTGGCTGAATCAAAAATCATCACTTTTTACAGTGTGTCTTCTTTTCGTACATTTAAAGAAAAAAAACAATTAAATTACGTTTCCCCAATTTTCCTTATTGAATTGAAGGATTTTTAAAAATAGAAAAATATCAAAAATTCTTTTATAAAGTGATATTTTTGAGTTCTAATCGACCATATACAGTCTGATTAATTCTGACAATTTTGAAACAGCTATTTCTCTGCCATTTAATGGAATTTTTACAAAAAAAACACAAATTCAGTTTTCCTATGCACCAGTATTTCGAAAAAACGTTTCACGCGCAGTTTCACCTTTCTTTAGGTAGGCGGATTAGATAAAACAAATTTTGCACGAAGATAGCCAAGGTTAAGAGCTACCTCAGAGTTTTTAAAATTCGTCGATACCTCCTTTAGTTAAAGAGTTATTACTGTTCAAAGTCAACCCGGCCGAAATACTTCTAAGAGTTTTAGTTAAATTTTGCACTAAAGCTGAATTATGCATTTGAGATAATGGCGGTCATTTTTAACACTTGTTAAAGAAAAAGAATGAATCCAGTTATAAAAAAAACGTTCATATTTTGATTACTCAAATTTTTTACAGATTGTAAAAATTCCAAACAATTACAAAGTTTTAGCAGTTTGAAAATTGACAAGATTAAAAGGACAGGCCCTATATCTTGCATTCTGGGATCACCATGTCACAACAATCTGTAACCAATCTTTTCATCTGTTTGGCGTTTATTGGGTATACAAACAAACAAAAAAATAAAAAAAACTCGCGTTAACCTCTTTTATACAGATTTTTAAATATGTTTGAAAATTTTGAAATCAACAAATAGTTTTAAACGCCCGATTAATAACGACTTTCTCTGATAAAGTATGAAGTTGATAATTTTGAAAACTGATTTTTAATTGAGGTTTCTTGAAGATACTAAAATGACTTGAGCATTTCTACTGCAGGAAAACATATGGGAATTTTCAGAACTAAACACTTTTAACCTGGAAAAACAAAACTTTATTCCACATACTTGATCAGACAAAGGTTTTAAGGGTACCGTTGTAAATTGGCAATTAACATCTATGCATGAAGGGTCAGTTGAAATTATGCTATGCAGTCCCTTTACAATTGTAAATAATTTTCCAAAAAACCGAGGAATTGAGTCTTTGACACCAACTCAAATTTTCTGATCCTTATGATCCTGATGGTGTAGCCTTTGAAATCTAAAAATTAGATTATTTGATCTAACAGAATGTATAGTTTGAAATATATCTAAGGTCTACGACATTTAGTTGCAAAGATATGGGGATTTGAAAATCAGAGTTGGTGGCAAAGACTCAATTCCTTTTTGGCTTAAAGAAATTACAATCTTGCCTTTTGTCTCCCAAAATATACTATTGCGATTGATAAAGCCTAATAAATAATAACATCAAATTATGATTTTGTATTTACCTAGATGCGTTGCGTGAGGTGTATTTTCAGGTTTATATCTCATTGTTTTATTCTTGTTAGATTTCATTAACACCTAAAGTACAGAAATAAAATTCATTTTTTTTTCTTTTACAAAAAATTTTAATCTTGCATTTGAAATGAATTTTTTATATTAAATCTCTTCAAAAAATATCTTTTTGATTCAATTTCTAAATTTTAAGGTTTGATCTTTTTGTATTACAAGTTTTTAAATGTCCTCACCTTGTTTTTGTCTGGTGTACTGTACTGTCTGTTTACAAGGTCAGTCAGTATAAAATTGTACCGCTGCACAAACTTATCATCTACTGTAAAACAAAACTATAAGTTAGCGATGATTTTGCTCCAACTCTAATTTTATAAACCATATATCTTTGCAACCTGATAAAAACCAAAGTTATTCAAAATTATGATTGTTTAATAGTTTGAAATAACAAAATTTCATGTTTGAAAGAAATATGAATAAACGCATAAGAGATATCTAACCATTTTTACATTTCGAAGAATACTTATTTATGATTTTTATATGCTTTTTTATCAAAATTGTGCCATTAACTTGAAAAAAATGTTCTACAAGATTTAAATTTTTTACCATCCAAGAAAATGAAATTGTATCGATACAAAAAAATCTTTAATTCCCGTTTACAATAATTTTGTTTTCGAAAATCATATTGAACCTTAACAAATATTCATAGTTGTTACAAATCTTTAATGCTTACAAAATGATATAAAAATTTGGTACATATATTTTGATATATTTTGATTGTTTGAACAAAATGTTTTCGTATTTTACTTTACGTATTTACAGTAGAAAGTACAAGCTTTAGTAATGATATTGACAAACAAATATCGTGAAAATTTCTAAATATAAAAATATTTAAATTTGATAAATGATTTTGGGATATTTGAATTATAATTCATAAAGTTATTTTTTGTTTATCAATTAATTAAATATTGTCATACAAAAGTATTGCAAAGAATTGCTAACTTTAAATTTGTTATATGATGACATGAACACTTAGTTATGAGGTTTAAAAAAGAACGGCTAATCTATTATGCAACTGTCTTGTGTTATTTTGAAGGATAATATGTTTTTTTGGCAGGGATTTTTTTCTTTTTCCTTTTGTTTGAAGTTTAAATTCAAGAGTTTTAATCAGGAACGTACATGAGTGATCAAAAATCTTGAATTTAAACCAAAAACAAACAAAAAAGTAAAATTTACAAAAAAAATCCCATTAACACAACTGTTGGATTTTTAAAATTATTCAATTCAAGTTTCGTAAAAATGTGCGATTTTTTTTATTAAAATCCGCGAATTAAAAACGGAAACCTGCTTTGTTCTTCGGAACACATAAGAAACTTGTTTTACCCAAGATCATGAAACTGTGAGTAAAAATGCGGGATAAAAATTCTCTCAAAATTGAATAAAAGACTAATATTCTCAGCTTTTAAGATTGGATCTATAGCTGATCCCAGTTTTGTTTAAGAAGCATTAATTAGTCTTTTTTCTTTAAGCCATTTATCAGGATATTTTCAAGATATCGCTATAGCTTTTCTAACTTAAAAAAAACAAATATTTCTGACAATTTCCTCCATTGTTTCTGTAGAATGTTATCCGCAAGGCACATTTTAGAAAACTAATTTTCAGAAGAGTTTTTATGATCAGACAAAGCTTTTGAGGGCACCGTAGATCCATTTGACATGCCACTCTTCAAATTAAGGGTGACATGAAATTACGTTTACAGTCCCTTTAAACTGACCTGTCATTGTGTTCAAAAGGTTTAGATTATTGAGTTGGTTTCTTATAAGTGAGTTCAGCAGTTTAGCATCAGGGTTGGAGAAATATTCCTTCTTCGTCAATTCTTCAAGAACTTTTAGAAATATACGTTTCTTCCTCTCCTTATCCTTATCCAAGGAAAATTTCTAAAAATAGAATTGTATTTTTTTTATTTCGCGATAAAGTATGGATGTTTTTTTGATAGAAGTTACAAATTTTATCCTTACTAGATAGATGGGCATCATTTTTGTGAATTAACAACATTTTTAAAACAACATTTTTTCTATAAACGTTGGTGACGTTTAAAAGAAAAAAAACCGAACGACTGGAAGGAAAAGACTATCGGTTTTCAAAAACAAACGAAAAAAAACGATCTAAATTCGTTCGAGCAAACCTAAATAAAAGATTTTACTTAATGATTATTTAGTGAGAAAACGAAAAAAATGAATTAAAAATAAAAGATAATTTTGAGAATTAAGAAAATGAAGTTTTTAAGTGAATAAAAAAATGGTTGTTTACGAACGATGAACGAACGAAATGAAACAAAAATCGAACGTGCCCATCCCTATACTATGAATCAGAAACTATTATTCGATTTTTAATTATTTCGCAAAAAAAAATAAAAAAGGAGTTTATACTTTTATCCTTGTTACAAGGAAAAGTAAATAGAAGTGAAATGCAATCGAATTTGACATGCAAAAAAATGGTGGCGAGGCACCTATCTACAAATATAGTTTTATTGGTAAACGAGACTCGCAATAGCTCAGATAACTTGTATACAAATGGAAAGTATACAATATGTTTATAGATGTCTCTCCATTCACCTTGAAACCGACAAAGAAGAGTTTTCTGCTTGAAGCTATTTAGGCAGGAGGTTCATCGTTCATGAACGACACATTTTGTTATTTTTTTTAATCGTTAAACAAAATATTTTTTTTCGTTTTCAAAATAATCATAAATTTTCCATTTATTTTGTTCAATTTCTCAGTGAACGATTTTTCAGTAAAATAATTCGTTCAGTAAAATCGTCCTTTCAGTAGAATTGTTCTTTCAGTAAAATCGTCCTTTCAGTAGAATTGTTCGTTCAGTAAAATCGTCCTTTCAGTAGAATTGTTCGTTCAGTAAAATCGTCCTTTCGGTAGAATTGTTCGTTCAGTAAACTCGTCCTTTCAATAAAATTGTTCTTTCAGTAAAATCGTCCTTTCAGTAGAATTGTTCATTCAGTAAAGTCGTCCTTTCAGTAGAATTGTTCGTTCAATAAAATCGTCCTTTCAGTAGAATTGTTTGTTCAGTAAAATCGTCCTTTCAGTAGAATTGTTCGTTCAGTAAAATCGTCCTTTCAGTAGAATTGTTTGTTCAGTAAAATCGTCCTTTCAGTAGAGTTCAGTAAAATCGTCCTTTCAGTAGAATTGTTCGTTCAGTAAAACTGTTCTTTCAGTAAAATCATTTGTTCTGTAAAATCGTTTGTTCAGTAAAATTTTTTGTTCAATAAACAATAGCTCAGTAAAAACGATAGTTTTTTCAAAAGCTTCTTGATGGACATCGTTTGTTTAGTAAAGAAAATCGTTTTTGTCAAAATCTGATAGAATAAATTTGCTCATTCAGTAAAAAACTATCGTTTTTTCAAGTTTGTTTGAAGTAAGTTTTTGATTTTTTCCCTTTCCCTACCTCTGGCTTAATATTTTTATTAATTTTACCATTATGTAAATACAGCAAATATTGAAATTATCTCTTTCCCTTGAATACCTCTTAATAAAACGTATGTATAAATCCTTGCTATACTGAAATTGTTTAAAATTGATATTTTAATTGTCAATTTGTGAGATTTCTCCTGCTTGTTTGAAGTATTTCATCTTCATGAAATAGAATTACCTTTAGCAAATCCTGGAATTCTTCATATACACTTGCAACTGTTCAAAACAAAAATAATGGTCTTGCTGGATTAAAAAAAAAAAATAACAGACATTCGATCATAACTGAAATACATGAAGTTGGAAACCATGCCGAAATAAAATGGTTTCCAAAAATAGAAGTAAAAGCTCAATAAGACAAATTTTCTATATATTGTTAAAGTTTAATTTTATTTATATAATGGAAAAATGTATAGAATGGTTGGATTTAAAAAAATAGTTTTTGACTTTTAAACCCAAACAAACAAAAAATACTGTAAACTGTTTTATTTTAAGTATGAAGAACTTTTATCCTAACTGAAAATATATTAAAAAAGACACAAAAATGTCAAAAACCGAACTTTATAATTGAATATCTACAGTCTATTAGTCATGATCAACTCATAATTTTGCCTTTAATTCAATAATAATGTTGTTTTAATAGACGTTGCATAAAGAAAACATAAAAATATTGGTTTAGGTGAAACGAAATTAAACCAAGAAAATGCAAATATTAATTGATCAAAGAGTGGTTTCGAGTAAATGCTTTGCTTTTAAAGTAAAAGTTTTGTTTTTATTTTTCTTAAAATTCTTCTTTCGTCTAAACATTCATGAAGCATCTTCAAACTTTTATTTTATTTAAGTTTTCTTTCTTTTGTAGTAAAAGCAGCCTGCAACATCCTACTCTGTGAATTTCACTGTTTATTCAACTTAATGTTAAAAGGACTGTCTGCGTGACAAAGGAAAACTATAAAAATTTAAGGAAACTAGGCTTTTAGGGCGCTTCGCGCCCATCTTATATTTAAACTTAAAATTGTGGCTTTATCTGTGAGCTTCTTCTCTTTGTACAGTATAAAACACAAACAAAAAGCTTGCGGATTTCTTAATATTTTTTCGCGCATTTTCAAAATTTTACAAAAATAAAAAACTTTTAAACGCAAATTTTTTTAATTTCGATCATTCATAAATGATGTCCCACACAAAATTTCGGCCCGATCAGTTCAGCTGTTTTGACTTTTATTGGATACAAACAAACAAACAGACACCCAGACACCACGACAAGCCAAATTTATATATTTAAGGAAACTAAGAAAAACTAAGGAAATCTAAGGAAAACTAATCAAATCTAAAAGGAAAACTACGACAAAGTTAGGAAAACTAAGGAAAACTAAGAAAAACTGAGAAAAATTAAGAAAAACTAAGGAAAATTAAGGAAAATTAAGGAGAACTAAGGAAAACTAAGGAAAACTAAGGAAAACTAAGGAAAACTAAGGAAAACTAAGAAAAACTGAGAAAAATTAAGGAAATCTATGGAAGACAAAATAAGGAAAACTAAGGAAAACTGGAAAATTAAGGAAAACTAAGGAGAACTGAAAACAAGGGAAATCTGAGGAAAACTGAGACAAACTAAGAATAATAAAGAAAACTAAGGAAACCTAAGAAAAACTAGGGAAATCTAGGTAAAACTGAGGAAAACTAAGGAAAACTAAGTAAAGCTTAGGAAAACTAAAGATATAATGAGGAAAACTAAGGAAAATTAAGAAAAACTAAGGGAAACAAAGGGAAACTAAGGAAATCTAGAGAAAACTGAGGTAACCTAAGGAAAACTAAGGAAAACTAAGGAAAACTAAGGAAAACTTAGGAAAACTATGGAAAACTATGGAAAACTAAGGAAAACTAAAGGAAAACTAAGGAAAACTTAGGAAAACTAAGAAAAACTAAGGAAAATTAAGGACAACTAAGGAAAACTAAGGAAAACTAAGGAAAACTAAGGGAAACTAAGGAAAACTAAGGAAAACTATGGAAAACTATGGAAAACTAAGAAAAACTAAGGAAAACTAAGGAAAACTTAGGAAAACTAAGAAAAACTAAGGAAAATTAAGGAAAACTAAGGAAAACTAAGGAAAACTAAGGAAAACTAAGGAAAACTAAGGAAAACTAAGGAAAACTAAGGAACTAAGGAAAACTAAGAAAAACTAAGGAAAACTAAGGGAAACTAAGGAAAACTAAGGAAAATTAAGGAAAACTAAGGAAAACTAAGGAAAACTAAGGGAAACTAAGGAAAATTAAGGAAAACTAAGGAAAACTAAGGAAAATTACGGAAAACTAAGGAAAACTAAGGAAAACTAAGGGAAACTAAGGAAAATTAAGGAAAACTAAGGAAAATTAAGGATAACTAACTCAAATTGTCTAATAACTATATCTTTGTAATATGACTAGATTATTTGGTCCAACAGAATTGGGTGGCAACGATATATAGATTAGAAAATCAAAGTTTGTGGCAAAAATTTGCAAATAGACAAAATTTAAAACCCTTTTTTGATTTATAAAGAATTGAAGTCTTAACACAGAATTGAATTAGCAAACAAGAAATTTGATAAATTGGCCTTTCATGCTATCTTATTTAAATCCTTGTTCAACTAGTATGTAACAATTTAGTTACTTGTCCATGAGTTTAGTTTTTATCTATGACTTGCATGCAGGGAAATGAAAAGAGAAATACAATCTAAAATTTTTTTCCTTCAGAGAGGGTTGGAAGTCTTCTAGTAGGAATAACGTCTACTGGAAGCTCTGTTGTTGTTGAACTGAAACAAAGAAAGGTTATGAATTTTCTTGATAAATCATTCTCACCACTACAAATATTTTGTTTTCCAAGAAAAAAATATTTTAGGAAAATATATGAAAATTTTTTCTTGGTAAATGACTTTTATTGAAAAATAAACGTTTTTTTTGAAAAGTTTAAAAGTTGAGTGGGATATGTATATTTGAGAATATTTTAGAGATTTTGTTAAATATTTAGTTTTGTCAGGTTTCGTTTCTAAAAAGTAAAATATGACACTTTATCTGCTTATTTTTGGTTGAATTTGTTTATTTTCACAATGTTACAAATTTCAATTTTATAACGAAAAAAAGGTTTAAAGTTTTTATTTAAAAACTAAAGACAAATAATATAAATTAACATTCTCCTCTAAAAAACTAGATTTTGGTACGCAACAATTTCTTGGAGGGTTTAAATTGATTTAAATTGTGCTGATTGTAAATGATACATTTTTGTAGTTAGTAAACAAGTTATTTAAAAACAAATACGATCAAACAAAATTATCAAACATTATATTTTCAATTGGCTAATAATAGATTTTCTTTTGTGTTTTATTTTAAGCTGAACCATCATACATTATTATTTTGTATTTTGTGTTTGAAAATAAATAAAAAAGATGTGGAATAAATGTTTTTTTTTCACTTGAAAGATTTTTTAACTTTCGCACTTTTTTAGAAACAATAACAATCTTTTTACATTTTGTAAAAAGGAACCAATCATTCCACATAGCTATCCACATGGTTCTTTTGATAAAACTTATAAGTTTTCAAAATTGTGTTCTGTTGTAGTTTGACTTTAATCAAACTTTAAACCTCTTCCTAAAAAATAAATTCGCAATACGATTCAAAAACGCGCGATCATCTAAACACCTTCGTTTTAGGATCGTATTAGGATAGTTTTAAGGATCGTTTTCGTATCGTTTTCGGATCTTTTTAGGATCGTTTTCGGATCGTTTTCGGATCGTTTTAGGATCATTTTAGGATCGTTTTCGGCTCGTTTTCGGATCATTTTCGGATAGTTTTAGGATCATTTTCGGATCGTTTTCGGATCGTTTTCGGATCTTTTTCGAATCTTTTTAGGATCGTTTTAGGATCGTTTTAGGATCGTTTTATGATCTTTTTAGGATCGTTTTCTTTCACAAAGTCAAATTTTGACGCTGAAAGTCGAAAAAACAAAGTAAAAACAAGCAAACTTAATGTACATCACTATGCATGCATAATAATGTCCATCAAAAAACAAAATTGTATTCTCTACCTGAAGATGTTGTTGTCAAAGCCTGGCTTGATAGTAATCATTGTATCCTGTAAGTACTCTAAACTGTTCTACAATAATAGAAATATAAAGAAATAAATAGAAACTTTCACTTTCAGATTCTTCTTTTCATATTCCAATTCTAGGTTTTCCGGGATGAACACAAAAGATCAAATTACAAATGATGGCATTTGACCAAAAATCAGGAAAATGGTTTTATTTTATAGATTCACAACTATTCACTGAAAAGCTTTGTTTGATTAGGAATTGATGAAATATTTAAAATTTTCTCTTTGAATTTTTGATTTAATTGTAAAGAAATTGAGTCTTTGTCACAAACTCTGCTTTTCTAAACCTTATATCTTTGGATTCCAATGTCGTAGACCTTAGACATTTCAAACTATGAATTCTGTTAGATCAAATAATTTAAGTTTGAAATTTACGACATTGGGTTCTAAAGATATAGGGATTTTAAATTCAGAGTTTGTGGCAAAGACTCGATTCCTTTATGTAAACTGTCACTTTACCGTCTGCTTCAGAAACAGTGGGGGACATAAACAGAATTTAACAGTTGTGAGCTAGAAAAACAGCGATATATTTTTTTGGTCATAAAAAGGTTTTAAGGGCTGTATTGCCTCTCATTAAATGGCAAATTGGAATTATACCAAAAGTTTCGTTAAGACTCTATTCCAATTGCAAAGGAATTGAGTCTTTGCCACAAACTCAGATTTTAAATTCCTATATCTTGGAAACCTGATTGTGTAACTCTTTAATATTAGAAGTTTAGATTATTGTTCTAAAATCAATGTTTGTTACACGGACTCGATCCGTTGTCTTTTATTAAAAACCTCTTATTTTTTCTATACTTATTTTAATACCAGTTTTTTTACTTAGATACATATATCCTCCCTATATTTTAACTCCTATTCCAATTCGGCCAAATATAATTTAAAAAAGGGGCTTCTAATTCCTATTTGAAGATAATAAAATAATAAGCTTGATGGTGTTCAGTGTTCATGTCAAAAAATATTTCGTGACATATTTTCATTTAAAATCTATAAATTAGTTTCTATTTAGGAAATTTAATTTATATTTTACTTTTAAATCCATCAATTTCCAATTTTGCTTTATAGTTTATTTACTTTAAAATTAATTAATATAACTTTAATACTTTTATGTTTATTTTAAGATGCACTATTTTTCATAAAAAATTGTGTACGGATTTTAAAGTGTTTTAGTTTGTTTTCCTCAAAGATTTTAGTAATTTTTACAAATTCTGATTTTTGAGTCCAGCTATTTCTTTACAATCCAATATGTCGTTTACATCATTTAGGTTAAAAAGAATTAGGGTTTAGAGAATTCTAGTTGTGGCAAAGAATATTTGCTTACAAATTATTTTATATTCAATACAAATTGGCTTTGAAAATTCTTCCATCTGGGAACTGACATTTAAGATGATACAACTGTATACATCGACTCCTTGGGAGGATTAATATATATAGAGTATAATATAGATTTCCAACCTGAATGGGCACTGATGGCGGGATAGTTATAACAGGTTTTGTTGTTTTATTAGTTGTTGTTGCTGTTGTAGTTGTTGTTGTTGTTGTTGATGTTGCTCTTGTTGCTGTTGTTGTTGTTGTTGTTGTTGTTGTTGTAGTTGTTGTTTTTATTGTTGTTGTTGATGTTACAACTGCTGTTGCGGCTGTTGTTGTTACGGCTGTTGTTGTATAAATGATTGGACGAGTAAAATAACTATTTCTGTCAGTTGTTTCCTAAATATTTTTAAATTAAAGGGACTGTTTTTGAAATTTTAACTGACCCTTCATTTAGAAAGGGGCATACCCGATTCACTACAATACACTTTAAACCTTTATCAAGTCAATTATACCATTTTTTATCTTACTAACAGAGTTTTGCGTTCTGACAAATTTCTTCATTTGCTAAATTTTGGAAATTTTTTTTTGGAAAATATCGATGCCTTGTTTCTACTGCAGGAAAAGTATATGAATTTTTACAATTAAAAACTTTTAAAATTAGAAAAACGACAAGATTTCTTAATTATTGATCAGATAAAGGTTTCAAGGTTACCGTTTTGAACCAGGCATTGTCACCTTTGCATGGAGGGTCACTTAACATTACGCTTCCAGTCCCTTTCAATTTTAAAACTTTTTTTTCTTTTCCTTTAGTGGTACACTGGTAACTGATAGCTGGTAACTGGTAACAGAATAAAGTCGTCATACTTATTTCTTCAAATCATGAATTAAAAATGGTTGAAGATTTTGTTATTTTCAAGGGAGCCAAAAATGTTCTATGAGGATTTGAAAATAAACAATTTCAAAGGAAATGAGTCTTTGCAACAAAATCTTATTTTCTAATTTTTATATCTTCTTAACCAAATGTCGTAGACCTTAGATATTTCAAACTATACATTTTGTTAGATCAAATAGTCTACGTTTGAAATAAAGGATTACCCTATTATGTTGAATTGAGCGGTTTAAAAATTCGAGTTTGTGGAAAAGGCTCAATTCCTTTAAAAACCTCAAAACAGAATTTCACGATTAAAAGAAATTAAACCAATCACACAAGTCTACGGCTTTAGCGATCGTAAATTAGCGATACAGTCCAAACTAGGACCGCAAAGGTTGGCCCAGCTCGAATATACAAATGTACACCGGTTGTGCGTTCAATGATTAATCAACAATGTTCTGGAAACCACTGTATTATACCTGGTGGACTGGATAATATTCTGCAGTAGAATATTGTTTCTTATTTACAGAATTCTAAAAAAGATATAGCTGTGTCGTGAAAAATTCTTTCAAATAAATGTTTGTTTGATGTGTCTGTCTGTGTAAACTGCTTAACAATCCTTATATGGAGCTAAGTTGAAAGTTTTGAATTGATTCTGTAATTTTACTAAAGGGAGTGTTTGCGAAATTACTTACAATTCACAACGGTTTCCTTAAACGCTTTTTATGACCAAGAATGAATTAGATTTTTAATTTTTAATTTTTTAGTATTTTTTTGGGGTTCTCTTCAAAAGTTACTTGCGCATTTCTGTTGCAGGAAAACGCTGTGGGAATTATCAGCATCAAACGCTTTTAAAGCTAGAAACAGGACGTTATTTACCTATTGCTGATTAGACTAATGGTTCAAGGTGTTGTGAATTTGGCATACCCCTGTTTATATGGAGTTTACAAATACAATAAAATAAGATAACTACAATTAAAATTAAAATCAAAATGAAGATTAAGATTAAAATTAAGATTGAGATTAAAACTAAGATTAAGATTAAAAATTGAAATTAAAATTACATTAAAATAAAATGATATCTGGAAACTCTAGAAAGGTAAAAATAGAAATAATCTGCTTTTCGTAATTCCAAATTGCCGGTAAGGAATGTCAAAAAGAAGAAGAAAATGGAAAAAGATTTAATATTTTTACTTAAATATTTTCTCAATATACTGTTAGAGACCCCCCCCCCCTTTAACACTGTGTGCTTTGTATCGAACTAACCGAAAGTTCTTCGTAATGACGAACAGTATGAACGGATGATAAATATTTGTAAAACATTTATATCATTCTTCTCCCAAATTAATTGAATCGACTTTTTAAAATTACAACTTGATTTTATATGTCGCCTTCCAATTTCAGAGTTTCCTGGTTATCACTGTATCACTAATAGAGGGTGGAAACGTGATGTGGGTGTGTCTGTACCAAAAGAGTGTTTTTAAGGAATACCGAACCGAAGGCGTGTACTGTAGGTATATACAGTACATAAGAATCTTGGTATTTGTACAGTCTAGGAGAATACATTTGTTTATTGTTAATTGTTTACTTAAAAATAAGTTTAATATATATGTAATATATTATTTTTATATTTAAGTCAACACTATAAGCCACATTTTCATGCAAAGAATATAATTTAATTAAAGTTTACAATAAACTACTCGTTATTTAAGTTTTATTATAATTGACGACATTGTTCTGCAATTTCCTTGACTGTAGTTATGTTGTGTGTCTGTACCAAAAGAGTGTGTGTAAGGAATACCGAACTCGTCTGCAAAGCATTGCGACTTTCTCATGTCAGACCAGTGCCATTTCCTTTCCCTTTATTCCTATTCCCTGATCACTAACCTTCTTTATTTTTTCCCACCAGGGCCAAGTATTTTCTTTATCTTCGTCTTCGACTGAATCCCCTGTGCTCCCTGCACCAACACCATTCTTAAACAAGAAATATATGTAAAATTATTCATATCAAGGGCAGCCGTAGTACATTTGAATTTCCGATCCGGGTCAACCTTTCCGGTCCCAGTTTGTACTGCACTGCACGGACATTGGGTTAATGAAGAAGACAATCAAAAGTGCAACAAGGTTGGTGTTTTTCAGATTTTATGCTTCTTATAGGTTGAATTTACTTTTACTAAATGGGCAGAGGTGCGTGATATTTAATGATGTTTGTAAAAGGAAGATTTAAAGGAAATGTAATTTCAAGTTGTTTTTTATGTGGTATGTCTAAATCACAATGGTAACCTTTAAACCTTTTTCAGACTAATTCTGTGGATTATATCATCGTTTTTTTAACTTAAAGGGAGTGTTCGCGAAAAATGAAAGGGAATATAGGCTTAATGCGATAAAAAAGCGCTTTGGATCGCTACTAATCTTACTTCTATCTGTTGCGTCTATAAGGAGAAAATTGTTAAAGACGTTTCATACCGAATAACTTAGCGGCCATACAAATTCAGAAAATTGCAACATACTACTTAGGCCGTAAAAAATCAATTTAATTTCAAAGAAATCATTCAGATATTACAACCTATAGTCATCGATTATCTTTCGCCACATTTGTATATAGTT